TGGTGAAAGCGAACCACTGAGGATTAATGAATGGTACGACTCCATCACTTGTAAGAGTTAGACTTGGTTAACTTCGACCTAAAAGTAACCACTCTTACAAAACTTCTTCACCGCTTATGGCCTTAATCGTACTCTGCCTAACGTGCAAGTACTAACGAACGGAATCAAAGTTAAAAGACCTGAGATGGCAAGTGTGACTGGAACAGAATTGTATTTACACAAAAGAGATATAGAATTTGATAAGAAATAAGAGGTACACACTTATCTGCAGGTGAGACGGTGGTCAGCTCGGAGAGTGTACTGGATGAAAGTACAGCTAGAGAGCGAAACCGAAACCGTACAGGAGGTTCAGGAATACAAAAGTGGAAGTTAGGTTAAAGGTCAGGCTGAGTTCATTCAAACAAAAGTTCAAAGGTACAATGTACACTACAGGTTATTCCCCCCTTAGAAGGTTGGTGGGATAACAGCAAGCTTCGATATATAAAAGTAGCAAGGTGGTGTACAATAACAGTGAATGAACAAGAAAGTGTGAAGATAGTAATAAAATAGTTGTTTTTCTCTTTTAAAAAATATATGTTGAGAAAGGAAAGAATGAAGGGAAAAAATTAGGGCAATTTATGAGCACTATGTACATGATCAATGGAGTAAGATGGAATATAAGAAGGAATAACGCTGGTGCCTTGGTGCGATTTCGAGCTTCTGAGTTGTCTGTTTTTTTTAACATCATTTATTTTTACTTATCTTTTTTATTTTTATTTTATTTATTTATTTAGTTTTTTTTTACGACATACTATTACGGGCTGGGTTATGTGGGGGTCTGATGGTATACCTCCGTTACCCCAGGTTGTTATAACGGGAAGGTGACTGATTATGTCTAAGTTTCCTCTTAGACTAATGCTCCATCCTCCCTCATCAACCAAAACTAGTAGTAACACCAAAGGCAATCAATATACCAGCGTATTAGGAGGAATAAAGTAAAAGCAACAGAAAAGAATAGAAGAAGAGGTTAAGATTTAAAAATCAGCATAAGGTGTTAACAAGAACTGAAGCGGAATAAATGCGAAGGAACTAATGTAACATGGGAGTGGTACACCAAATTGAAATAAAGCAAGGGAAATTGCTAGCGCTGTGAAAACTTATGCAAGGTACAGAGAAGTGTGTGTATAACCAATAGCTATGAATGGGTACAATCAACATTTGTTTAAAAAAATGTAGCGAGCTGTATAATTAAAGTGATGCAAAGTAATTACAAGTATGGGTCACAAAATAAATAAGTTTCATCATGGCATAACTCGAGTAAAAATAGTAAAATCTGTGAAAATAGATTGAGCGGATTAAAATGTACAGTATAGAAGTGACGTATTTATATGCAAAAATATTTAACGGTCCGTTTAACTATACAGTGAAAGTTTTTGTTTTTACATTTTATTATATTGTTTTATTTATTTTATTATTTTTTTTATCTGGTTCATATTTTTGTTCGTTTGGTTTGTAATTCCACGAGTGTTGGGAGCCACCATACGACAATGGAATGGACTGGTCTAGCTAGCGGTTCGCGTGCAACGCCAAAAATAAAATGTTAGAACACTGTAACGAGAGAGAAATCTAACAGGATTAGTAAATGAAAAGTGGCTACTGCCCACAACGAAACCCAAAAGAGTAAATATCATGAAAAATGAATGTAACGTGAGAAAAGACATGAAGGTATCAGTTACTCTTGCAATTAAAAGTGTTTAGTTAACAAATTCACAGTATCGTTTAGGCCAGTGTACACGCCGACCAGAGCGTATAACCGGTGCTTTACTTGTCTCATCCGCAGAACTGCTAGGTTTAGTAGGATTTTCGACAATCGAACTTGGCTGGGGTGTGGGTGCGGGCGTAGTTGCTGGTTGTGTAGGCGTGAGGGGCACAGATTCTTCGATGTAGGCCGCTTTAAGTCTGTCGACACTTACGGTGTCTTGACGGCCAAGTCGATCAATAACAAAAAATTTTTCTTTCCTACTAACGACCTTGAATGGTCCATCATAAGGAGGTTGTAATGGTCTACGAACGGCGTCGCAACGCACAAAAACGTGGGTACAGTCATCGAGTCTAGCACCTACTTGCACTCTCTTGTTTTGTGTGCGTGTGGGAGTTGGTTGCAGGCGCTGCATAAGGCGCTTGAGGTTCTGAGCAAAACAATCTACATCCGTAGCACTTGTCTCACCAATTTTCAGGTGAGATAATTTCACCCGGTAGACGAAGGGTGGCAGAATTTTTGTCCAACCCTATCACATACAGTGGTTTGAAATCTATGCCTACATTACCATAGCTGTGTTGCTTTCGAGACTTCGTACACACTTATCAACTCTTTACTGCTATCATATGCATATCTGGCAGCGGTGCAAACTCGCCCACAGATTCCCAACGTAGTGTCAGGAAATTACATTAAGGTGGTAACTTCTATTGATCTAACGACCTTCCTGCAATGGTGAGACTTGTAGGATGATTATTTCCTGCCAGTGTTGTAGCTTGTCGGTTCATTGGGATATGCAGGCCCGACCATTATGTCAAGATACCAGCTATCAGTCGGGATTAAGTCTCTAAAGAACCGTAAATTTCGATTTCGAAGGTTGTTTGATTAATTTGATATGATTATGAGCCATAAATTGTGCTTGAAATATCACCTAGTGAACATTGTGTCAATTAAATCAAATAACTCACATGAGATTATGCTATACCTGAATGTAGATGTACTACTGTTATATCGTGTTACATTTTCATGCAGCAGTTTGACTGTCTGTCTGTCTGTCTGTTTTCGACATAGAACTTTGCACATATGTGCGGCAGTTCAAGTCGCCACAATCCATGTAGCACGCAAAGCAAGAGAAGGAAGTAGAAGAAATGCATAATATAAACAGTAAACAGAGGTGTGAGACAAAGGAATAGTAATAACGGAGAACAAAACAGTTTAATTGGAAATGATAAGTCACAAGGAGTGGATGCATCTGCGCCACTGAGAACGATTTTGAGCCATGTCACCAATTGTTTCCAACCATTGGTTTTTATCGTCCCGGGGACCCCAACCAGGAAGTCTACACCTTCCTACGTGGCTTAGACTAACTGCTGTAGATTTCATTGACTGATTAAGCCACGTTTTCGTTTGACCACCGCTATCTCTTTTCCAGTCTAACCCTATGTCAACTAACATTGCCCGTCGAGGAAGGCGATGACTAGGCATACGTAGCACATGTCCTAACCATCCCAGTCGAAGTAATTTCACAGTCTCGTCGATTGATTTCCCCGCCTTACCTAGCACTCGACGCCTAACCTCAATATTGCTCACCTTATTATACCACTTCACACGGGAGATAGAACGCAGACACCTATGATCGAACACAGCTAATCTTTTCATGTCTTCCAATCTCAATGGCCAGGTCTCACAGCCATAAAGGAGGACGGAGCGGACTGTTGAGCAGTACACACGCCCTTTGGTCGATAGTCGGATATCGCGTCTACGCCAGAGACGGCGAAAACTGGCGAATGCGAACCTAGCCCTCTGTATTCGTGCTGAAATTTCGTCGGAGATCAACCCGTTGGGGCTGATGGTACTTCCCAAGTAAGTGAAGCGGTCAACGTGTTCTACCACTTCACTTCCTATTTCTAATCTAGGGGTCGATGAAGTCCAATCCTGCAGCATCATCTTACATTTTATAGGGGCGAATCGCATGCCAAACATGCGGAGATTGTTGCTCAGGGTGTTCAGTAGACTCTGCATTTTGTCAGAGTCCTCGCCTGGAAGGACTATATCGTCCGCATATTCTAAGTCAACGAGATTCTTCCCTGGTAGCAAGTCAATCCCTGAGTCGCTGAAGTGAGTTAGGGTTAAGTCCATTAGTACATCTATGATGAAATTGAATAGAAACGGGGATAATGGGCATCCTTGACGGACGCCACTAGTCGTCACCACTTCAGATGACAACTCGCCATAAGCCCTCACCTGGCTGCATGAGTACGAGTAGAGTGCCTTAATCAGTGCAATGTATTTTCTTGGCATTCCCTTTACAGCCAAGCATCGCCAGAGAACCTCCCGGTCGACAGAATCGAATGCCGCCTTTAGGTCAAGAAATATAATGATTGTCGGACGCCGGTAGGAATGCCTATGTTCTAGAATCTGTCGAAGGGTGAAGATGTGATCAATACACCCTCTACCTGGCCTAAAACCTGCCTGGTTTTCTCGTGTTTGTGTCTCCCGAGCACCACTTAATCTACGCAGTATTAATGAGCCTAGGATTTTAGATACTATATTAGTCAAGCTAATCCCTCTGTGATTATCACAAGACGACTTGTCCCCCTTCTTGTATATCGGGATGATCAGTGACTTACACCAACCCGATGGGACTTCCTCTGATTCCCAGACGCTGCCTAGAACCTCCGTTAACGCAGACAGTAAACTGTCGCCTCCGTACTTAAATACCTCTGGAGTCAATAAATCAGGTCCCCCTGCTTTGCCTAGCTTCAGATTGGTGACAGCTTTAGTAACCTCGGTTAAGGACGGAGGACCTGTGTCTATCTCCCATTCAGGGAGGTGTTGGATGTCCGGTAGGTTAAGTGTGGCTGTGGGCCAATTAAACAGCAGTTTGACACCTTGTAATGTTTGCCGATTTTTGTTCCACCTAAATAAATCATAGTAAAATCTGAATATTAAAATCTGTAAAGATAGACATTAAGCAGTTAATGCATTTCAACATCAAAAACAACAACAACTTTATTGATGTGGTTTCATGCTTTGTGTACAATGAACAGACCTACTGAATTTAACATTATTTTGTTGTTGTTTTTTTTTTTTGTTTTACTCCTGATTGTGATGCGTTTTTCAGCCGATTGTTTCTCTCACTGAAGATGATGAAGAAATATCTCCTGATTTGAGCGATTTACTTCCAAAGATTCGTAAGATTATAGATGTAAGTTGTTCATTCTTAATTAATTTCTTTTTATGCCTGATTATTTAGCAAAATATCATGAAACCTGTTGATCCCGAGTTATGTCAATTGTTAAAGTTATTGAGTGAAGGTCTGAGTATTGCTGACAGACAGGATGGATTTTCCAAGTATTTACGTGATCAAGAAAAAATGCATCTACCAGCCTCATCTACATCACACAGGTTAGTTGAAGTAAATTTAACGTATATATATATCGTGTTTTTTTCTTCTTCTTCAGAGAAATCATGGAGATGGTTAGTTCATTGAATGTATTTTTGGCTAAGCTGACTTTAACTGCTGACGACATTGTTGACCAAATGGTAACCCTGTTTTTTTTCGAAATTATTTATTGAGTGATTTTACAGAAAAAACAAGACATTGATTCACAACCATGATCTAAATACTCAACCCTCTGAAGATATTAATTTTGATGGATAAGAATCTGAAGGCATCTGTAAAGCGCCATCCATGTTCCGGAGGTGTGTGTATCTGTGTGTGTTTGAATCTAAAAGTGATTGAATTTCTGTAATTGTGTACATAAATAACAGCGAGGAAATTACACAATGGAAAGTGAAAAATTCGATTTACAGTGAAAGCAGCAATTTAATACCCTTTTTGAATAAAATGGAATTTTATACTGAGTTATTACTTTTTTCCTCTCAAACTATTATTGACATAATTTGTGTTGTCGCTATGTGTATGTTTACAGCCTGAAGTCGACAGTTACTGTAGTCCATAACATATCAGTTGGACAAAGTCAACATAGGTAATGAACTACTAAAATAGAGTTGGGGACTGACAGATAAGCAGGAAGAATTTGTCCTGAATTGGACTGAATTTTTTAAAAAAAACGTAGAACTTTGTATAAAAGTGCGGTAGTTTAGTCATCTAGAATTTATATTAGTTAGTTTACTTGCTGTATGCAAGATATTAGTGTTTTTATCTCTCCTATTATTTAGCCGCCACTATCATACTAGTTAGAAATTGATGTTTTTGTTGTACTTGTTCGTTTAAGTGGTGTTTACATGCTGTAGTTTATTTCTTTAAATTCTAAGTGGAACATAGGGTTTCAGTGTTTTCTTGAGCTTTGTAGTTTCGATAGCAGTGGTGTTATGTTTACGTGGTGGGAGGTTGCTAGCCTCATATCCAACTTTCACTCTTTACTGGTCTACACTACCGACTTAGCGAGGTTTTGGAAGTGCATCGGTTAAGGATTGAACGCCGGACCACTTGCTTGGTTGGCAAAAATCCTATTGCTGAACCGCGGACAACGCAGCACATACTGTTATAAAGTTGGTGAACTAATTCACTTCAAAGGGGTTGACGATTAATTACAGGCATTACGAAAAACGTCAAATGGTATGCGCTGCCCGAAGGGTAATTCTTGTGGTTCAGTAGCTTCAACAGGAAGACTTTGAGGTTTGGAATGATATGTCTGCCTACTGGTCTCAGTGGGAACCTCGTTTGTTGAGATCCGAAAGATTTTAGAAAGAGCGAAACTATTGTCTTAGGTTTCATTTCTAGCCGCTGCAAAACATGTAGCGCCTAGGTACTAAGATTAGTCGACTGTGTTGATAAGAGGTAATAGTGTGGTTGAGAGCTGTCTACTAGCCAAATTGGTAGACAGTAATTTACGTCAATGTTTACGTTCTCAAGATTGGTCATGAGAAAATATGAACAAGACTGATTCAAAAACCGACCACAGCAGAATTTGAGTAGGCGGATACAGTTGACGTATAGATGATCAGTTGCCTGGCTCTTGTCTTCTGTTGTTGCAATAGTTGTTTAGCCTATACCGGGAGGCAAAGCTTGATACGTTTTACATATCATAATTCAATAGTACCAATTGACCTCGTTAATTTAGTTTTTTTTTCCGGAAAATGGTTTTAATCTTTTGTAATTAAGTAGTAAGGGTCATATTATCTTATGATGTCTGCTTTGTGTCACCTAATGAAGGTGTACAAGGAAGTAGCATTCGAGGTTATTACGACTTGTGTGTTTCTTCATTACCACAAGTTATTTCAACGCTTGAAGTAGTTTCATGCCGCCTCCAATGCTCTCTCTTATATTGATTGACATTAAATCCATTTAAGTGATCGTCTGACAGAATCTTGTTAGATGCTATTGACTCTCGATTCACTACGAACACTAACAATACATAAAATTCCCTAAGCACTGTAACCGAAAATATCAGGTTTAGTTGACTTAGCGGCCTCAGTCAGAATTGAAGACACGACTGAGTGATGCAAACAGTGAACCAACATACTATCGCCGATATGTCGATGATGCGTTTGTTGTTTGTATCGCCATGAGTCAGGCATCCATATTATGTGACCGCCTTAGTGAGGTCCACCCAAACATTAAATTCACTATGGAATATGAGCACAATGACGAGTAACTAACTGGTTTCAACGTAGAACTTTGCACCGATGTGCAGCAGTTCTAATCGCCACACTCCATGTGGTACACAAAGCAAGGGAAGAAAGTGAAAAAAATGCAAAACAGAGATATGAGGGAAAAAGAATAGTAATCTAGAAGAACAATGTAGTTATAATGGATATTATTAGTCACAAGAAGTGGATGCGTCTACATCACTGACAACGATTTTGAACCATATCACAAATTGTCTCCAGCCATTAACTTTTACCGTCCCGAGGAATCCAACCAGACAGCAGTCTACGCCTTCTTACGTGACTGGCTTAAACTAACTGTTGTGGATTTCATTGACTGATGGCACGATTCGGTTTGACCACCACTGTCTCCTTTCCAGATTTTCATACTAAACATCGCGTTCCTCGACGGGAAATATTAGCTGGTATAGGATATATCAGGTGAGGCTAGCAACCTCCCACCACGTAAACATAACACCACTGCTATCGAAACTACAAAGCTCAAGAAAACACTGAAACCCTATGTTCCACTTAGAATTTAAAGAAATAAACTACAGCATGTAAACACCACTTAAACGAACAAGTACAACAAAAACATCAATTTCTAACTAGTATGATAGTGGCGGCTAAATAATAGGAGAGATAAAAACACTAATATCTTGCATACAGCAAGTAAACTAACTAATATAAATTCTAGATGACTAAACTACCGCACTTTTATACAAAGTTCTACGTTTTTTTTAAAAAATTCAGTCCAATTCAGGACAAATTCTTCCTGCTTATCTGTCAGTCCCCAACTCTATTTTAGTAGTTCATTACCTATGTTGACTTTGTCCAACTGATATGTTATGGACTACAGTAACTGTCGACTTCAGGCTGTAAACATACACATAGCGACAACACAAATTATGTCAATAATAGTTTGAGAGGAAAAAAGTAATAACTCAGTATAAAATTCCATTTTATTCAAAAAGGGTATTAAATTGCTGCTTTCACTGTAAATCGAATTTTTCACTTTCCATTGTGTAATTTCCTCGCTGTTATTTATGTACACAATTACAGAAATTCAATCACTTTTAGATTCAAACACACACAGATACACACACCTCCGGAACATGGATGGCGCTTTACAGATGCCTTCAGATTCTTATCCATCAAAATTAATATCTTCAGAGGGTTGAGTATTTAGATCATGGTTGTGAATCAATGTCTTGTTTTTTCTGTAAAATCACTCAATAAATAATTTCGAAAAAAAACAGGGTTACCATTTGGTCAACAATGTCGTCAGCAGTTAAAGTCAGCTTAGCCAAAAATACATTCAATGAACTAACCATCTCCATGATTTCTCTGAAGAAGAAGAAAAAAACACGATATATATATACGTTAAATTTACTTCAACTAACCTGTGTGATGTAGATGAGGCTGGTAGATGCATTTTTTCTTGATCACGTAAATACTTGGAAAATCCATCCTGTCTGTCAGCAATACTCAGACCTTCACTCAATAACTTTAACAATTGACATAACTCGGGATCAACAGGTTTCATGATATTTTGCTAAATAATCAGGCATAAAAAGAAATTAATTAAGAATGAACAACTTACATCTATAATCTTACGAATCTTTGGAAGTAAATCGCTCAAATCAGGAGATATTTCTTCATCATCTTCAGTGAGAGAAACAATCGGCTGAAAAACGCATCACAATCAGGAGTAAAACAACAAAAAAAAAAACAACAACAAAATAATGTTAAATTCAGTAGGTCTGTTCATTGTACACAAAGCATGAAACCACATCAATAAAGTTGTTGTTGTTTTTGATGTTGAAATGCATTAACTGCTTAATGTCTATCTTTACAGATTTTAATATTCAGATTTTACTATGATTTATTTAGGTGGAACAAAAATCGGCAAACATTACAAGGTGTCAAACTGCTGCATGAAAATGTAACACGATATAACAGTAGTACATCTACATTCAGGTATAGCATAATCTCATGTGAGTTATTTGATTTTATTGATTTAATTGACACAATGTTCACTAGGTGATATTTCAAGCACAATTTATGGCTCATAATCATATCAAATTAATCAAACAACCTTCGAAATCGAAATTTACGGTTCTTTAGAGACTTAATCCCGACTGATAGCTGGTATCTTGACATAATGGTCGGGCCTGCATATCCCAATGAACCGACAAGCTACAACACTGGCAGGAAATAATCATCCTACAAGTCTCACCATTGCAGGAAGGTCGTTAGATCAATAGAAGTTACCACCTTAATGTAATTTCCTGACACTACGTTGGGAATCTGTGGGCGAGTTTGCACCGCTGCCGGATATGCATGTGATAGCAGTAAAGAGTTGATAAGTGTGTACGAAGTCTCGAAAGCAACACAGCTTTGGTAATGTAGGCATAGATTTCAAACCACTGTATGTGATAGGGTTGGACAAAAATTCTGCCACCCTTCGTCTACCGGGTGAAATTATCTCACCTGAAAATTGGTGAGACAAGTGCTACGGATGTAGATTGTTTTGCTCAGAACCTCAAGCGCCTTATGCAGCGCCTGCAACCAACTCCCACACGCACACAAAACAAGAGAGTGCAAGTAGGTGCTAGACTCGATGACTCTACCCACCTTTTTGTGCGTTGCGACGCCGTTCGTAGACCATTACAACCTCCTTATGATGGACCATTCAAGGTCGTTAGTAGGAAAGAAAAATTTTTTGTTATTGATCGACTTGGCCGTCAAGACACCGTAAGTGTCGACAGACTTAAAGCGGCCTACATCGAAGAATCTGTGCCCCTCACGCCTACACAACCAGCAACTACGCCCGCACCCACACCCCAGCCAAGTTCGATTGTCGAAAATCCTACTAAACCTAGCAGTTCTGCGGATGAGACAAGTAAAGCACCGGTTATACGCTCTGGTCGGCGTGTACACTGGCCTAAACGATACTGTGAATTTGTTAACTAAACACTTTTAATTGCAAGAGTAACTGATAC